ATCTGCTTTATAAATAATGATGATAAAATCTTCAATCTTTCATGTCTGTTACGTTTCTGTTGCTAAAAACTCTTTCACATAAACCAACCTGCCTTTTATGTTTAATGGCCGCCTTTTTTTTTTCCATGGTAGATTCGTAAGCCTTGTACATGCTGGCTTCAGCATGTGAAAAAGCAAAGTGTACAGCAAGCTTTAACAAAGTATTTGCAAAGCTCTCAGCAAGCTTCAGGGAGCTTTGTTAAAGCCTTTAAAGCAAATTTCAGTTCCAGAAAGGCGGTTTTAAATTCAGGCCTTAATAGGAGTGCTGACTGTTACTTTAAACAATCTGCTAGCAGGCTTCAGGAGGCTTTCGGCAAGCTTCAAGCAATGCTGAAGCTTAGTGAAGCCTGCTAAGCAGACTGATTAAAGTGACAGTATTCCTAACAAAGTTGACCCCGAAGTGATTTTTTTTTTATCTTCAAAGGAACATCTATAAATGTTAAATGTGCCTAATAAGTACCCCCAAAAGATTTAACCTTTTTGTTTTAAATTCCTCCTACAATAGCAGTGCACATGCTGTGCAGCTCCCATAGCTGTATATTTGCATTGTGACTCTAAGGCACTCCTTGCATTGACTACTAGTCTCAGAAGATTTGGAGTAAGATTTGATGAGGTACCTACTGTGCTTCTCACTGGTCTCCTTGCTGGAGAGAAAGCTGTACCTGAGGACCTGCAGTGCTAGGCTGTCCCTGCTTTTGCTTCATTCAGTAGATTTGTGCTTTCTGCACTACTCCTGCTGCTTCTTGAAGATTTCCTCACCAGCAGGAGAGCAGCTGTGATATGAGGAAGCAAAGTGCTGCCTTTACCAAGACCGACGCCTCCACACGGAGATGCAATCCAGATCAAGGTATGGTAAGTCAGCACTGGGGGAACAGATCCTCTGCAGAGAGACCACAGGCAATACTGGGGACTAGTCCTCTGCCTTCTGCTTGCCTCTTTTAGGTACGGCTTCCACAGTTCAGGTCTTCTTTAAGATCTCCGATTAACCTCCCCAGACTGCAACTGAAGTTGCTTTAAAGGCTCCAACAAAGCCTTTTAAAGGAGAACTATGGGGTTAAGGCTTTTCCCCATAGTTCTCAGGGTAACGGGAGGGCACAAACTAGCGTCCTCCCGTCACCCTAGGCTCAGTATACCGCAAGCTGCAGCTTGCGGTACACTGAGACACCGCAAGCTCCCGCTTGCAGTATACTGAGACGCCGCAGCTGAAGCGGATGCCGACAATTGTGCCGGGATCCGCCCAGCTGCGTGACTGACAACTGGCTCTGCCTATCTAGAGGCAGAGCTAGCTGTATCCGCCCCCTCCCCCGTCCGTTCTGCCAGTCAGCACTGGCGGATCGGGGAGGGGGAATCCAGCCCCTCCCCTGTCACGGCAGAGAGCCGTGACAGGATCGAGAAGTGAGCGAATCCGGTATGTGTTCGCTCACCTCCCGATCTACTGAGCCGACCTGTGACAGTCTCATTGTCACAGGTCGGCTAGAACTATGAGGTGAGTGAAAAGCACTCACCTCATAATTCTCCTTTTAAGGCTTGTTGAAAGCTTTGCAAATACTAGTTTGCTGTACACATTTGTGTTTCACCTACTGAAGACTGTATGTACCAGACCTAAAATGATCATTTGTAAACATGCTAAAGGGTTAAAATATAAGAAAACAGCACTGTAACCCCCAGCCTGAAATGTGTGAATATGTTCAAACTCAAGACCGCAGTCATAGTAAGAAGAGACAGAGCTATGTGTGATGGGGGCCCATTGCAAAACCATAATCTCCATTAAGGAGGCAGTTCCTCTAGTGATGCAACATACCAAACTTTAAATACATTCAGGCTAGATTCAGACCTGAGTGACACAGGGACCCGCGATCATGTGCTAGTGCACACAGCGGTTGCCGCTCGGCCGAATCGATTTCGATGAGGTTCCATCCGCGTGGCAATCGCTAAAAAAAAGGTACAAGTACCTTTTTTGCTAAACACGCCTTTTTTGTTGTTGTTGAATTGCATGGGTGGAATCCCGTGCGATACAACCGGCTCAACTGGGGTGCCATTAGAAAAATAATGGCACCCACAGCACGATCGGCTGTGGTGGGCGACTTCATGACCACGCGGCAATCCCCACGGTTTTGTGCACGATTGCCACGTGGACAGGGGTCGCCCAGGTGTGAACCTAGCCTCACTTGCTCCAAATGTATTTGCCACATGCGATTGCTACCTGTATAGATAGAAAGTCCTTCATCCCATAGTAGTTGTATGGTCTGCTATGGCTTAAGTAGGGATGGCGCTAGACCCCAAAAGCTAGTGAACAGGCACAGGCCTCCAGCCAGGTGTCGGAAGGGTCTCATATCTGCAGCTTATACTTCCTATAGAGCAGTGGTTATCTGCTTATGAGGTATAGGACTCCTTAACTGCGGCCTCTTAAAGCACTAAAGGGCCGTGCATAATATTCTGTATATATAATACTAAAAAAAGACTGTTAGAAACTGCATGCATACTAAAGGAAGTGGTGGTCAGACACTGCAGGCATGCTATAGGTGTTGTTGGAGACTGGAAACCTGTTGCAGAAGACAGTTAAAAACTAGGGCCATGTTACATTAGACTACTAGAGATCACTGTCATTACAGCCCCTTTGCAAGTCAGGGCTTCCACTAATGAAAGCGGCAGAGCAAGTACCAAAAGGCTGCATGTGGACACCAGGGCTATGGGGGGGGATTTAATCTTTCCTTTTGGAGGGTGGGCAATGGGGAAGCAGAGAAAGTGTGGGGGGTAGGTAACCATAGAAGATGGTTATGCACTGCTCAGCCTCTAGCATAGGGGAGAAAGTGCTGCTAAAGGCTTTTGACCAAGGGGTGGGCAACATTTGGCCCTCCATTTATTGTGAAACTACAAGTCATATCATGCAGGTGCTTCTCGAAGACATGCCTGTGGCTGTCAGAGTATTGCAACGCCTAATGGGATTTGCAGTGTCACCACATCTGGAGGCTAGAGGTTTGCCCACCCCTGCTTTAAACCAAACAGCAGGCAAAGAGTGTGTCCCTCTAGCTCTACCTTGAAATGACAAGTACTCAGTGGTAGGAACACAAGCATAAGGAAAAAGGTGGGTACAAAAAAGAGGGGGAGAAGAGAAAAGAAAGGAAATGACTGCTGTTTATGGTGGCATGCATACTAGTTGGGGGTTCCCAAGGGTGCTTTAGGCCTTTAAGGATCCACACAACACTCCTGACCCTTGGGGTAGACATACTACATGAGTACTACATGAGCTACTCCTGTCTAAAAAAAGACAGGAGTAGTTCATCAGGATAGCAATAGCAGGTGAAGAGAAGGATCACCTGCAGTCATGCTGGACACAGGTCATAATGATGGTGAAAGGCATTACATAACCGAGTAGTCAGTTGCATCTAATGACATCAAGCCTTGTATAGTTAATAACACAGAGATGGCATTGCCAGGCCTGGAAGGGCTTGGATTACTGCAAGATGGGAAAAGCTTGGCACCTCCCACACATTCATGGTTCCAGGACAGGCGCCGGCGCTCCCGGTAATGGCTTTGATAACCATTGATATGGGCAAGCCGTTATTTGTGCCAGCGCAGAGCTTGGTATTAGGAGCATGATGTTTGTTTAATAGCCTTAATTAGGGGAAAATCAGCACAGCTTGGAGTCCCTAGCGAGGAAAGGCGGACGGCGACGGCAGTGGGGGGGGGGGGAGGGGGACCAGCAATACACATAAGTTACAGGTTTAAACGGGAGAACAGAGTGATTTGAGAAGCTGGATGAGGCAAAGTGAGGTTACCAGCCACTTACACCTGCCCAACCAGCCCTGCCGCCTGTGGAGAACTTTTACAGTCATCGCGCACCCCATATTCACCCGTCGCCGTTAATCCACGCGAGGTCTGCTTGCGGTAATTAGTCGCCGTCTACTTTTAGACACTTAATTTTATCACTTGTGTCAAAATAAATGCAGCAATCAGCTGCTTACCGTAGCAATCTCCAGCGTTCAGCGGGATCGAGAGAACACCCAAACGTTTCTGCCAGAGGAGCAAGTTAAAATAATTATGTGGGAAAGCTGTGTCGCGCCACATCATTTCACTTAATGCTTCTGACTCATTGGGGGGCTGCTAAAGACGTGATGTGCTTCTTTTTTTTTTCCTGTTTTGTCAAAAAGGTCCTTCAAGTTGAACGGCTAAAAACGCAGTTGAAATAAACATTTTTCTAACTGCCTTACCTGCAAAAGGTTTTGGAACGCTGTTTAACCAATCATGTGATCCACAAATGCCTGCCAGACAGCATAGACAGGTCTCTGACATCCAGCATTGTTAAGCAGTGCAGCTTGGTCAAAGACCCACCTTCAGCCTTGTGATTGGACAATGAAGGAGCATCACTTAACCGATAAGGTCATCACTCATCAGTAGTGGTCATTATCAGGGGCATCCCTAGACTCCTTACTGCTGGGAAAGGGGGAATAGTGCTCTAGATACACTTTCTAGGAAGGGATGGGGAATGTGGTGTGCTGGCGGCTCATGGTGGATGGTTCGGGGG